CTATAAGCGGACCCCATTAACTGGCAGTTTTAGTTTTTCCTAATCTAGTGGTGTGTTTTGCCGAGGTTACCACTGTTAGTGTTTTTAGTACTAAAGTTCGTATTCTACATTTCTTTGTGATTAAATGCTAATGGCTCAGATTATAAGAATTGTAAGAGCTTCTCACTTAGAATTCATAGATTCCTGCCTTGGTATTAGATAGTCGTATCCTCATAGGCAAAGAAAGATAGATAATTGATGTTAATGATTATGCGTGTATTTTTGTGTTAATCTGGACAGAGCAGGGACCTGTCACAATATTTTTCATGGTGCTGCCTGTGCTACATGATCTATAGGTTGGTGCTCCTCTTCCAAACTCTTGTCTTCAGGTTTGCTGATAGCATTTACTCCTTCTATTTTATGCTTTCACTCAGCAAATATTAGCTGAACACTTACTATGAACTGGATAGTGTAGTAAACACTGGGGAGGAACGGGCAGTGGTGAGGAACAGCATTCCTGCTGTCTCTCACAATTTAATCAGAGAGAGAAAAAAAGATAGAGACAGACAGGCATCAATCAAACATGCACCCAAATATATAATTATTAATTGTGATGAATGCTGTGAAAGAAAACTGGGAGTTAAATTGTGGGTGGGGCTTGATTTTCTGGCAAACAAGGGATAGAGCCAAAGCAGCTGCCATCTGCCTTGTGGCTATCTCTGGGCATCTCCTGCTGACTGTCTCACATGATCTGAGTGCAGAATTTTTCCTTTGTTATCAGCCATCTCCCTCTTCTCTTGCATGTTCTCAGGGTGCCTAGCATTTGGGCACTCCCTGTCCTTCGCAGAACTAAGGAGGAGGGGCTGTATTTCCTTCCTGGCCAATCTTGCTAGGAGAAATGGGAGAAAAGAAGGAAAAAAAGAAAAAAGAAATCAAGGCCCTTCCTAGGCCTTTCAGGAACCTCTCTCTTTCACAGAGCTTTAAGACTTAGTTTAAAGTGAATTACCCAGTTTCATATGCACCTTTATTAAAGTGCAAAGGAAAGGGATGCTTTCAAAAGCTGATTATCTGACACTCTGGATTATCTGTCGTTCTTCTCCCCTCCATCAGAGTGAGTGATTGAGAGTTGCTTGTTCCAGCTTCTCTCTGGTGCAGGAAAACTTGTGCCACAAGCTTAAAAATTCTGTGCTGTCGCTTTCAGCATTCTCCCACAGTATTAAATATTATGCTGTACCTATCCACATTTTTAAAAATTAACTAAGGCATCAATTAACCTTTGTTTAGAGAAAACCTGCTTTACTCAGCGAGCTCATAGCATTGAGTTGGCAGCAGCAACACTGGCGGGTTAACTAAGATACTGATAGCTCTAAGAACTGTGCTATTAAAGATGAATGTGGTGAATCTTGTCATTAAATTGGAAAAGGATTACTTTTTACTTTCAGTGTTAAACTGGTATATCACTTTTCTTAAAAAAAAAAAAAAATTGCCCAGCATGATGGAGAAGTCTGCTGTCTTTCGAGGGGACTTTATTGTGTTTACTCGTTGCTAGTGAATAATAGTGTACGTTTCTTTTAATCTATCATGACCTTGTTTAATTTTCTCTTCTCACCATTAGGGGCATTTCTATGAAGTATACATTTATAAATCATTTAGAAACTTCTCATTCTCAGCCTAGTCTTCCATTAATGCCCTTGAGATGGAAGACAAAGAAGTAAACTATGTATATCTACTTAAGTGTCAGAGGGGGCATAATTTTTAAAGTATTGAAATATCTAATTATGTGAAACCAATCTCTGCAGTGTGACAAGATGAATGTGCTATTATGTGTGTTTAACATGACCTTGAGGTCTTTGTTCTCTGACATGGTTGTTCTCTAAATCTACAGGGTGACTGCAGGATAAAAAAGGGGATGGGGCTAGATAAAGCCACCAATGTATGTACAAATAGGATTGAATGTGGCTAAATTAGTAAATTGGACCACTGTCCAAATCGTGTTAGCATGCAATCTTTTAAATTCATAACTGCATAAGAAAACATATACGAATGTGCTATTATTCCCTTGTAGGATGTTTTATTAAAAAAAATCTCTTACATAGTGCTTCAGTCACTTGATCCATTATGAGGTGATAGGAAGAGTATGTGACCCTTAGATTTGTTGTGAGATGGCGTGGGAAAGTTTATCCAAAGCATTTAGAATGCTTCCTAGCACATAGTAAGTGCTCAGTAAATGTTAGTTACTTTATCAAGAAATTCTGTGATAAAAGTTTGTTGAAATGTGATTATGTTTTTTTTTGTTTTTTGTTTTTTTTGTCCTTTTTTGAGACCAGCCGCACCGCGCTCAGCCAGTGAGCGCTGTGAGCGCACCAGTCATCCCTATATAGGATCCGAACCTGCGGCGGGAGCGCTGCTGCACTCCCAGTGCTGCACTCTCCCAAGTGCGCCACGAGCTCGGCCCGTGATTATGTTTTTTTAAAAAATAAAGTCTCTTTTTTTAAGCCTTTACTGCATATTCTTTTGATGTTGAATAAATAGTCACCATTTTTTTCTAGTTGGAGATCACGTGAATATTAGTGGGTAGGACATCTTTCAGGTCAATAAGAGATTCTTTAACTATGGAGGCATGCAGAAGAAAAACGAGAATTTATTATTTTTGATGGACTCTGCTTGCCACCTCACATCCCCAACTCCTACAAAGAGAATTTATAATTACATGAGCTCTAACTTAAAGTGTTTCCTTGTGATAATAAGGCATTCCTCACAGTGCTTTAGGGTGCATTTTTCCTTAAACTGTGGTTAGAAGTCCATGCCAGGGGCACCCCAGACTACGGCTTAGAAGTCTAGCCATTTTAGGGGTTTAGCTTCTAGAGCTGTTGACTTCAAGCCCAAAATAAATATTTATTCTTTTCATATCTTTCAATGAATTGTATACCAGGAGAATTATACTCTTGTTATTTGTGACATTTCTTGGAAACTCATGTTACTAATGGACACACACTCAGAAAATCTGGGAGCAACTGTACCAGATATCTTTTTCATCGTGGTGTTTTATTTCTTTATAAAATGTCTTTTATTCTCTCTCTCTCCCTTTCTCCCTCCCTTCCTCTCTCTCATCCGCCTTCTCAGCTATCATTATAAGTAAATCTCAGTACTGTGATGTTTTGGAAGGGGGACCTTTCTGGCATAATGTATTGATTAATATAATGATAGGAAATGTGCTCTTATCCTTTTTAGATATCAAAAAAAATCAGAAAAACCCATTGTCATGATTTTCAGTGAAAAGAGCATCAAATGCAAAGTAGTGATGTTGTTGAGACATTTGTTTTAAATTCAAGTTACTCTCTGATTCTTCTCAATTCTTGATCTCATGTTTTCTCCAAAGATTAGTTTGTTCTATGATAATTCTTCACACTTGAGTGTAAAGACTCTTGTAAGGGTAGGTGAACCCTATGCCACAATGATTGGGTTTATTTGATTAGTTCAGTGTCAAAATGTGTGAAACCAGAAGATTGGATGAAAGCCCTGTTTAACTGGATTGACCAGTTACTTGAGTCAAAAATGTTCAAATTCGTTTTCTCTATAAGACACAACCCAAGTCATTTGCAAATGCCTGTTAATTTGATATACCTGGGCATTTTTTATTGACTGATCACCCTATCTTAATGCTGAAAGGTCCACTTAAATGACAGTGAAAATAGCCCAAGTGGTTTTGAAAAGCTTAGGTTTCCTGTGAGGCAGAATGAGTTCTTAAGATGCCAGCACATATGAATGTTGTTTCAGCATATTATAACAATACCTGCCAGGGAATAAATGCATTCACTTTATAATATGGATTGTAAAATATTTGATATGAAACTGTTTCTTTACAAAATGAGGCTGTTTGTAGCCTGAATGGTAATCTAAATAAAGTACCCCATTGAAGTCTGTGTTCTTGAGTTCAGCTTACACAGGATTTTCATATCTAGGGATTCCTTTTCCTCCTCAGCCCTGTTGTTGATTATTTTATATACCTTCTGCAAGGAAGATGGGTAGCCATGCACATAGCTTTGTGAACATTCCTAAATGGAGGATATGAATTGACATTGGCCTTGGAAATTGGGAACCCGAATTGTCTTTAGTTTGAGTAATTTTTAGCTATGAGTAATTTGTATCAGGTCTCCTGACATGACTAGATTAATTATACTCTTCCTTCCCTATATAAGCATAATTAGTGCTAAACTTTTTGCAGGTAGGAAGAATTTAGTACAAAGTTCCTTCAGTCCTGATTAATGAATGTACTTCAGTGTTTTGTTTTGTTTTATCAATGAAAGCTTAGGCATCAGCCCGTAATATTGATAGCATGTGTTTGCAATCACATGATACAGATAAGTGCATGTGAAAATTCCTCAGGTGGCAGGAGACATTGTAGCAGACTGTCCAAAGTCAGCTCAAACATTTTGAACCAAAACAAAGGGAGGGATGGGTGGGGGGCTAGCAAGAAATTGGTTAATGGACACAAGGAATGATTAACTTTTGTGATGATGAGCATGCTAAGTATCCTGATTTAATCATCACACATTGTACACAGGTAATCATATTCAACTCTGTACCCCACAAATATGTTTGATCAATTATTTTTCAATAAAAAGTGTTACATTTTTTTTAAGGGAGGGTTTTTGTTTTTCTTTGCTTTTGTTTTTGAGATGAAGCATCAGTTTGATGTGAGAAGATAGATTTATGAAAGCACATCAACCAGAGATCGTCACCAAACTGAAAGAGTACAAAGCATGCTGGGAGAAGTTGACATCACTTGCCATAGAGTAGACTGCCACCTGGCTTCCCCTTCCTGTAATAGCAAGGATCTTGGGACAGGGCACGCAGAAGAGAGAAGTCGCACAGAGTGCCAGTTCAGTGATGAGTTGTGTCTGTGTTCTTAGCTATTTTATGACTTGCAAATATATTGGCGCCTAATTACAATAATAATAATAATTCAGTGAGCATGTGCTAAGTAGAAGGCATTGTTCTTGATGCTTTCATTCATTCCTTCATTCACCAAATATTTATCTAATGCCTTTTAAGTTCCAGGCACCCATGTGTGTGTGGAAATGCATCAGTGGACAAAACAAACTGAAATCCCTGACCTCATAGCCTTATGAAGCAGTTTTCAGGCAATGCTATTCCCAGTCTCTTAATTATAGATGTAAAAGAAAGCCCTTGGACTTTCATTCACTCTTTTGCATTGTGGAAATTGACTTGTGCAGCATATATGACGTGAAGCACTGCATTATACATATTGAAGTAATGACCCAGTCCTGCATCCGCCCCATGACTTAGGTAATTGTAACATCCCCATTTACACAAGAGGGAACCAAAGTGCAAAGAGAAAAAGGTTTGCTCAAGATCACACAGCTAAGGTCTCTCATACTTAATCACAGAGCTGGCATTCAAATCAGGTTGTCTGATCTCATTGTCTGTTAGATTTAAGAACCAAGTGACTTAAATCTAATATTACTTTTCCTCTCGAATTTGACACCTAATGGAATTGAAAAAAAAATAGTTTGGGGGATTTTAAGTAATGGAAGGGCCTGATGAGGCAGTTTTTTAGATAATACTCTGGCTAGTCTATACTATATCTGTAGGAGAATATCCTTAGAATACTTTAGGTTCTATTAATTTATGGCACTTGAAGATTTTAATGTGTTATTCATTGAAATGGCGATCCAGTTCCTCTTGCTAGATATTTGAAATTGACTTATTCATTGTCTCCTTTGATTTTCATGGTTGGCCAAATTTGTAGCTTATTTCTGGTTTGTATGGAAAGAATGGTGGGATTAATTGACTTTCTCCCATTAATTAAAACAGTCCCTTGAGTATAGTACCTGAGAATTCCTAAAATGGAACCTTCAGTGACCGGTAGCAGGGACGGTTTCTTTTCTGGACTGACTGAGGGGTTCCGTCACTGTCCTCTGTATCAGTAGCCTAGATGGAGGGTCTGATGCTCTTCAAATCCAATCATTCATTTTGAGTTTGTAAATATTTTCATTTTGGGGTGACATAAGTAGAAAATTAAATTATTGGGAAATTATAACCAAAAGGAGTATTTTATTTTCTACTCTTTGGTAGAAGCTACTTTTTTTTTTTATGCCTTATGCTTTGGCATATATACATACATGTATTTTTGGTTAAAAAAAAAATATGTCATAAACGAATTTTAAAATTTTCAAACACTTATGGAACTGTTGTTCTTCTGTATGGATAAAAAGCTGAATTTTTAGGGCCGGCCCGGTGGCGCACTGCTGTAGTGTGCTGCTTGGGAGGCGCGGCGGCGCTCCCGCCGAGGGTTCAGATCCCACATACAGACCGGTTCCCGCTCACTGGCTGAGCGAGGCGCGGGAGCAACGCCGAGGGTTGCGATCCCGTTGCTGGTCCCGGTCCGGTACAGGGGCGACACTGAGGGTTGCGATCCGTTGCCGGACACGGAAAAAGACAAAAAGACAAAAAAAAAAAAAAAAAGCTGAATTTTTAAAATGAAGTGTTTTCATAAAAATTGTTTTGTAAAAAGACTATTGAGTTATTTTTATGGGAGGCAAAAATGTATTACAGAATCAATGTCTTAAGTAAACAAAGTTCAGTTAATATTGATTCCATATCCTTATATATATTTTTAATTAACTAAAGAGCCTGAGGGAGGAAAGCTCATGTTCTTTAATATCTTGATAAAGGAAATGACTAAAAGTTTTTTCTCATTGTAGTGTATATATATAGCTTTCCAGCAATAACTTTAAAATAAAGATTCTGTAAAGGTAGGCCGGCCCGTGGCTCACTCAGTAGAGTGCGGTGCTAATAACACAAAGGCCATGGGTTCGGATCCTATATAGGGATGGCCGGTTTGCTCACTGGCTGAGCGTGGTACTGACAACACCAAGCCAAGGGTTGAGATCCCTTTACCGGTCATCTTTAAAAAAAAAAAAAAAAGATTCTGTAAAGGTGATATTAAAGATTTCACTCGTTAGAGAGGTTGTTATAAATGGAAGAAATTTTGGACTATTTCGTATGTATTACAGATGAGACTCTCTTGGGTATGTACAAAATGTGACATAATCTTAGCTTTTCATTAGGTTGTCTTTAAGGCACATAGAGGTTAAGGGACTAAGATTTAATATTTAAAAAATGGTAGATGACAGAATTTTTCATGAGACCACAGTATGTGCATCAAATTTCAGCATATACACACTGTGAAAATACTATATATTATGAAAACCAATTAGGTAGAATGGAAAACATCTAGGGAACTCACAGAATTTTGTATTATTTTATATTTTTATGACCCAGGAGCAGTTCAGAGCTTATTCTTGATGGGCATTTTTAGAATGTTGTTCTTCATTGCTGATGAAAACATGCTTAGGGAATAGGAAAGTCGAGCTAATTATGTCAGGATTTGTCCTCCCGTGCCAAACACGAGAAGAACATTTCAGATTCTGACTGCTATCTCAATGCTGCCGTTGTCTTAAGCTCTTTGGGTCCCTGAAGACACAATCCCCAAATTTCTAGTGTGCTGCTGGCCTTGGATCACATCTGGTTTTAAATGACTCTCCGCAAGTTGCTAATAAAGTATACACTTTGTCTCAGATAGCAAAGAGAAATCAAAACAAAATCCACTAACACTTAAGCTTTGTTAGAGGGTGGTGGCAAGCCGTGGAACCTTGTTACACATCAACTTGCTGTCATGAGTCCTGTACCGTCTTCTAGGTGTGCACATAACATTTGATTTTATTGTTTTGCAGAAAGCTGAGGAGAATGCAGATGGCGGGGAGTCTGCCTTGGGACCAGATGGGGAGGTAAGGGATTTTCATCCATTTCTACTGCGTTCTGCTGCATGGACACCCTGCCATATCTTGCAGCACCATTCTCTGTGTATTCTAATTTTACTATTACTCAGCCATTCACTTTTAAGTAAAAATAGTAGTACATTAGTATAGTAGAAAATTAGAGTAATGTAAAAGGGATACCGTGAAAAGTAGTCTACTTCCATCTCAGACTACCAATCAAGTGATACTAAGTTTCTTGCATACCATTCCAGAATTTTCTGTGCACACAGAAGCATATATTTATGAATGCATAGAATGTGTAAGAATCTTAAATGATTCAATAACTACGATTGCCCAGTATACTTCATGCAGAAGCATAAAATATGACCCAGTTTCCCTAGTTTATTACTTTGAAATTATGAAAATACATATACCAAACAATTCACACATTTAGTCAGCTTATTTTTTTGATGTTTTCTGTAGGTTTACAATATAGCTTCTTTGTGTACATTCATAGTCCTAAATTTTATTTCTTCATATTTCTAATATTCTCCTGAATCATGAGGATACAATTATTTATTTATTAGAATTTTTTTTTCCTGAAAAACTCAAGGTTCTGTGCCAGTGATTTACAATGAGGAAGCACATCCCCAGAGCAGGACGGAAAGGGAGTTTGTTTCAAACCAGCTTCTTCTCTCACAGATTCTGATAAACCTGCTTGGAGGATTGGGATGGTGGGAGGTTGCCTCTTCCCGTTCTAGAATCACTGTGCACATGAGCCTTATTGTGTGAGACTGGAACAGCCTCAATGCAGGAGAAAAGGTTGAACCACTATTCTATGCAGAAGCCTCTTGAACAATAAATGTTGCTTAACCACTATAATCCATCACAAGGAAAGAAAGGATCAGGACAAGTGTCTAATGTGTAAGAAATTCTCAGTGGTCTGTTAAGGGGGAAGAATACTATATATTAGACCACTTAGAAACAACTCTAATTTGCAAAAGCCCAGCCTTACCTAAGCATGCCTCACATGGGTCTATAATTAACAAGTACACAGGGAGAGATTTAACAAGTTAGTGTAATAGTGTTCTTATCTCTTATTATTGCTTGGGAAAATTAGCTACTGATCTTGGGCCTGTGACATACACTTTTTTTTTTCTTCTAATCGCAACACACATGTGTGGTGTTGGCTGAAGTTTGTAAAGTGGACATCTTGCTCAGTTTGTTTTGAAATAATGCTCTTATTATACTCTTATCTTCTCATCCATTGCTTTTGCCAAGCTTCTAATTCCAGCTACTGTGACTTCCAATTTTCTTTGAGCCATGACATTAGCAATAAAACAAGCTATATTATAATAGTTCAAGATAACAGAATATGATTTCTCCGATGGAAATGATAGCAAATGGTAGATTTCCTTCTTTATCTTGTGAGTGTATAGATGACCTTTTGCATCAATGAGGAAGAAACGTCATGTTGGCATGCAAAGTAATGGTGTTCAAAACCATTGCTTTAGCACACATACAAGAAAAAAAGACAGCATGGAGTAAGCCTTTTCTTCCTTTAAGGTTATTTTTGTGAATAATCGCTAGTATATTGTTTCTTATTCTGATAGTGCTTTCTTAAGGGAGTAGGGAGAAAAAAATTGGGTTTTTGTTTTTGTTTTTGGTCATTTCCTGTAAGATGTAGAAGATACCTACAGCATACTGTTTTACTTACCATTTTTGCTTAACACCAATTAAAAGTAATTTAGGAAAATTAGTTTTTAGGAATTAATGTATTGTTTAAACATTTCATTTCATCACTTTTCAGGAGCTAGATAACATGACCCACTCACAGATCAAGCATTTCCAAACAAGCGTTTCACCTAGGGGTCTGCTCCTAGAAGTATGTGTCATCCCACAATCAGTAGCATTCGTTGGTGTAGGATTGCTCCATTTTTAGGCCTTTTAAGACAATTTGTTCTCTGAAGTAGGTCAAACACTTCTGTGATTTCATTTATTCTCTTAATTTTCTGAGCAAGCCACTTTTCCTAGAGTCTGTTAGTGAACTTCAGCTCAGTCTTGGTCTATCTGCCGTGTCGAGTGAACAGAGCTTTTCTCTTTATCGTATTCACAGGTACCAATGGTTGGGTTAGATACTTGGTGGTCTGGTTTTGGATAAAGGACACTGGTTCTGCAGAAGCCAAACCAGCCACTAATGAGATGACACAGGTTTTCCTTTTCCATTTTCCATTCTCTGCAAAATCATGACTTTGGAATAGTCATTATCTAGGGAGTATTAGTTGAAGGATTTGGAGTTGTTAGTTGCAAATGACCAAAATCGACTCTGCCTTATTTAAGTAAGAAGGGAATGTATTAACGGGAGGTAAACTAACTCATCAGATCTCCAGGAATACTGGAGAACCTGACTCAGGGCTATTCCCAGTATTATCCTGTACAACTGGTCCTGTGAGAGCCTATGGGAGCAGGCTGGAGCTGGCACAGCCATTACCTCTTCACTGACACTGCTGCCACCAGTGTGCCTGTCAGTCCCCACTCCCTTGAATTTCTAGCTCCTAACTCCTAACATCCATTCGGTGGAGCTGAGGTTTTGTGCCTGTTCCGTAGCTGCCAAGGAGGCTGGCGTTTTCAGTTCCTTTAGTGGGAGGTAGCCTCTCACTTCCCACGTCTCATTCAGTAGTGAAATTTCCAAACCCAGGAAAACGTTTCAGGTGCTGGGCAGCTAAAAGGCTGAGAAATGTCCAGCACAGAACTGGGAGAACATCTCAACATCAAGCAATGGTGTGATTCTTTTCCTCCTTTCTAGCCGATAGATGAGAGCAGCCAAATGAGCGACCTCCCTGTCAAAGTGACTCACACGGAAACCGGCAAGGTCCTATTCGGACCAGAAGCACCCAAAGCAAGTCAACTGGACGCCTGGTTGGAAATGAATCCTGGGTATGGCATAAAAGCAGCATTATTGTTTTCCTTTTGGCTTTTTAGATTCATGAAACTAAAACAACATGGCCTTTGCTGAGATGGTTGAAGTTATCTACATTCACCATTGGGACATAGAACATGCTAGTTAATTCATGTGCGTCTATATCATTTTATAGTTTAAAGAACTAATATCCCTTCTCTTTCCCTCTCCTTTTCTTTAGTTACGAAGTTGCCCCTAGATCTGACAGTGAAGAGAGTGATTCTGATTATGAGGAGGAGGTATGTATGTGTCTCTGTTTAGGGTTTATTGGTTTGAAAATTGATGGGAGAAGACCCTTCTCCTTGAACGTAGACCCAGCCCCTGTGTCCTTCTATCACTTTTTTTCTACAGGGTTGGCCTTTCAGTGATGATTTGGGCTAAGGATTTGCAAAAGCTTTGATGCTGCAGTGATCTCTTGGGGGGTTCCTGGCTGATGGGGAAACTTGGGAAATTCAAAATTCATTTGGAACTGAGAAAAGAGAAGTTGGCCTTAAATTAGAGATGGTGAAAAGGTCTTTCAGGGAGAATTGAAGATGGATTACTTTGGGAAAGGCAATCACTTGCCTCCAGGTGGTTCCCTCTGAAAGTCAGCTGCCTTACAATTTCTGAAGTCCTTTAGGCCTTAGAGTCTATTTGAAGTTGTAATTGTGGGAATTTAGATGAAAAGGGCATCATGGGCTTGGCTTAATGAGTTTTCGATCCTCTTGATGTCTCTCTAAATGTGATCCTTGTTTGAATTCCTTGGATATACTTGTAACCCAAAGAGAAGCACATTTCTCCATCTCTTGGAAGAAATAATATATCTAGAACCTAAATGGGAATCTTGGATATTTTTAATAGAAATTAAGGAATAACAAAATTATTTGTTAGATCAACTATGAAATGGTTTAATTTAATAATTACAAATAGAAGGATTAAAAAATTTGATCTCCTTTATTAGAGAGTTGTTAATATGTAGTCATTAAATCTGATGTTTACCAGCATAGAGGAATCTTAGTCGAAAGAGCACATGGCACAGATGCCAGGGACTGGGTAAAGCAGGCTTACTCAGAATACTTACCAGAATTTCAAGACATTTGCTACTTTCCTTCTATTTTGTGGATCTGTGTTTTCTAAATTAATCTACCGTGAGCACTTACTGCTTTCGTAGAGGAAAAATACTAAAGAGTTACGTTAAAAAAAGCATAACTATTAAAAAGCAAATACTTTGGGGAGGCATGCTAATTTTTTTCCCAGCTACTCTTTCTCTGAGCTATTTAAAGGTTGAAAAATCAATTTTAGAATATGTCTTGTTACTCAGAGAATGGGCCCATAAATTATCTGTTGGAAGAAACTTCTCTTTGAGAGCTAGAGAGGGGCAGAAATGAGATAAAGTAGGCTTCTTTAACCAACAGATGCCAACCTGTGCCAGCTCTGGACAGCTGGGGAGAGAGTGAACTCTGACTTGGGGGACGCGAGACCCAGGAACTGATCTTGGGCCTTCCACGGGGGGGCCCAAGTGACTCCCCTCTCAGCACTTCACTTGCTCACCTGGGAGATGTGCAAGTTCCTCAGCTTACTCCTCGCTTCTAAATGACCTGTCATTGATAGCATGTCAGTTCATATTTTTTCATTCAAGAGTTATGCAAAAGCATGGTTTTCCTCAGCCCTGCTCTTAGAGGAGATTCTCCTGATTATCTGGAAAGATTTAGCCTTCAACACGTGACCTGTCATTGATAGCATGTCAGTTCATATTTTTTCATTCAAGAGTTATGCAAAAGCATGGTTCTCCTCAGCCCTGCTCTTAGAGGAGATTCTCCTGATTATCTGGAAAGATTTAGCCTTCAACACCCAGTTAATAGTAGACATAATGAATATTTGGCGACGCTTTCAAACTGGTCAGCTGAAGGTAGTACACCATTGAGAGGTGGGGAGGTATTGAATCCTCTGCCAAGGTATTGACAGTTTTTATCTAAATACTGAGAAATGTGTGACTTGCACCAGTCACAGAGCAGTGTGCTTCAGAGCTCCGGTTCCTCTACCACAGACATGTGTGTGCCATCAGAGTTCCACTGGCATTATCAGAGCATTTTTAGGAGAATGAGGATACTTCGTACTCTAAAGTCTGGCTTTGGAGAGAGAGATATAGACAGTTACTATGTACGTGAAAGCAGATATGGTCTACAGGACCCTTTCTTAACCAAATAATAAATATCTGTCTTTCTGTCATGATGTTTACATAATTATTCTTGGGAGCAGGGTTCTTGGGGATCTCCAGAAGATTCCTTTGTTCTGTCATTCAGTGATTTAAACAGCAATGGAATGGTGTATTGCCAAATTTAAGTAAATGTTAGTTTTACTTCCTCCCTTAATTGTATTTAACTACTTCGTTTGTGAAGTTGAAAACTATTTAATCTCTTTTTTTAGAAGTTCTCTTGTTAAAATGTAATTTTCACCATATCTTCGTTCCTTTCCCAGGATGAGGAAGAAGAGTCCAGTAGGCAGGAAACAGAAGAGAAAATACTTCTGGATCCAAATAGTGAAGAAGTTTCTGAGAAGGATGCTAAGCAGATCATTGAGTGTGTATCTCTCAGTTTTCTCCCTTGGAAATGCATTGCATGAGGATGATGCCGTGTGAATTTTCTTTTAGAAAATTTTATTTAAGAAGGGAGCAAACTTTATGCCCACCCTCTACTTGAAACCGTGCCCTCAGAGGTCACCACTGAGCTCGGGGCACTCAGGTCCGAGGGCTTCGTGTTGCTCATCTCCCTCAGATGCTCATCACACCTCAGGCTCATTGCTGAGCTTCACACTGTCATTTGCATTTCTGTCCCAGATTGGACTAATCAAACTTACCTCCTGAAACTGGCTGCTTTCCTGCCTGCCCTAGCTCCCTTAATGGCATCACCACTTACCCAGAAACCCATGCAAGAAATGCTTTTCTCTTCTCTGTCCTTGCTGTCATAGCCAGGTCAGCCACTAACCCCTGCCCAGTCCCTGAACTCTCCCCACCTGCCCCTTCTGATGGTGCCGGCTCCACGTTTCACCCCATTCCTGTCTGTCCTCTATATCAGTGGTCTGCACATCTCTCTGTTAGTACAGCTGTAGTATTAAAAAGAAAATTGTTGTGAAACAACATGCAAAAGAGAAAATTTTAAAAGATGAGATGTTTTTCAAAGACCTCAGAAATAGGCATCTTAATATTTTTTATTCCATGGCTGGTATGTCCTACTTTAGAAACCTTTGTTCTACCAGTCTGTTCCTGCTCCTTCATTGAAGGTTTTAAGAACCCCTCAATGGCTCCTAGTTGCCTGTAGCTCACCGACAAGGCACAGAAGATAGAATAGAAGACTGTCTTGCCTCTTTCCTATTCCTTTAATGTCACCTTCAGCCCTCTCCCACCTGTCCTCCAAGCTTTAGCCTGTGTTCTGTGAATAGGACTTATCTTTGTATCCCAGCAGCCTAGGACAGCTTTATTGGCAAAGTATTAATCTGCAGGCTCAGGCTCCGATTGGTCTTTTGAGCTCAAGGGCACCTTCATTCAAGTCCTGGTTTCACTATGTTTGGTGTGACCCAGGCCCATGAAGTAACCTCCCTGAACCTCAAGTTCTCCACCTGCTGAAATGGGGATGATGATAATAATGCCTACTGTGCTTAGTTTTCATAAGGATCACAAATAGTGTATTTTAACTGCAAAGCATGTAGTAAGTGATAAATAAACTGTACTTATTGCGGCTATTTTAGGCTCCTAATTCATTTTTTGAATGAAGTAAAATCACACATTTGCCCACAGTCCACGTGTGACTCTTCGTGGTCTCTCTCTCAGGACAGCTAAGCAGGACGTGGATGATGAATACAGCATGCAGTACAGTGCACGGGGCTCCCAGTCCTACTACACAGTGGCTCACGCCATCTCGGAGAGGGTGGAGAAGCAGTCCGCCCTCCTCATTAACGGGACCCTTAAGCATTACCAGGTAATTGGCGTGATCTGTGTTTCCTTGGCAAGTCATAATCTTTAATTTCAATTAGACTACGTCATGCACATGCTGACTGCTTGAGAGGTTTTCATGATGGTGAGACATTTTGGGTCACATCACTTATAACATTGATGTTCCCCGCATCGTGCCTATAATTCTTCTTTTAGAGTACTTCTGTGTTGCCATACCAGTTTTCTCTTTCGTGGTTTTGGGATGAATTTTGTTTTAAGAAATAACTGGCTTCACGTTTGAAATAGTTTTCATTGTGGATCTCTTTAAAGTGGAAAACCCAGCCACGTGCTGTTAATGTAGGGAACACCCACACCTCATCTTGAAGTAAATGAAGTATTTCTTTAAAAATTTTAATTGTGGCTATACTTCCATACTGTGGATTCAACCACCTAGGGGCAGCTATCTACTCCATTTATGCCTTTTAAGGCACGATAAAGGTGTGAGCATCTCTGCTATGATTAAAAACTAGGCTGTAAATATAACATGTTTTCTTTGGCGTGTCTGGATTGAGGTCAACTGCTGTCTTCCACCTCCTGTCCCTTTCTGGTATTACCCAAAGTGTGTTCCTTGGCACGTTTGTTCCATAAGTTGTTCTTTAGAAATAAAAAATTAAAAATAAGGTTTTGTGATCAAATAGGAAATAACTATCATCTGTAATTAGGATTACCATATAATTCGCTATTCCAAATTTGGATACTTGTGAGAGTGAGTAGGGACTGTTATTATTGATAATAGGCATAACTATTGGACTGTCTCAAGACAACTAGACATGTGGTGGCAATCCATAAAACACATCAGCACACTAATGACTGTGCAAACATAAACGTGCAATTCGTAATGCACATCAGTGTCCTGCAGTAAAATAACTTGTTTAACATTGTTTAACTTCTTATTTCTTATTTTTTGACCACCAAACCCTGTTTTTGTGTATCGCCTATTAACATGTACAACCACTGTTTCCCAGAATACACTGCAGGAAGTGCCTGCTTCAGGCTAATGCTTCTCAGGCTTCTTGGTGTCAGGTCCCCTCCATTCTGAACACTTGGCACTGTGTTTGCTGCCACTGCATGGGAGTGAAGAATACAGCGACTGCTAACACACCAGTGTGTTAAGAACCCCTCAATGGCTCTGAAGTGCTGATGGCTTTTACCTACCAGTGCTTTTGCATCATTAGTGCAGATGTCGACACAGTAAAAATGACAAGGAATGCCTTAGTATTATTATGAGACTTGTTTTGACCTGTGGATCTCCTGAAAAGGTCTTAGGGACCCCCATGAGTCTCTGGAGCACACTTTGAGGATCACTTTTCTGACCTAAGTCAGGTCATTTTTTCTCCAAAGACCATGTCACTTTCATGAGGTCCAGAGTGGTTTTCATCTTCTTTGGCCGTCCTGACGTAGCTGTTAACTCCTTGTATGTTCTAATAATCTTTGTATATCTGTATATGGGAGATCCATTTTTTGGATTATGCATAAATAACTTTTAATGCCACATTGAGTTTCTCTTGCCATCCAACACCTTCATAAGCTCTGTCTAACCCAGCTCCTCCTACTTGCGTGTGTGAATTTTCTGTCTCTCCCCCTCGCTGGGTGCTGTAGATTCCCTGAACTTGCCTTGTACTGTCTCCCCCTGGGCTTTTGCCTCATGAAGTTCCTTCTTCCTGGAGTCTGACCACCCCTGTCTGCCTGATGAAATCTTTTCCATTTCCTACAAATCAGTTCAAATTGTGGCTCAAAGCCTTCCCTGAGCAATCTCTTCATGAGTCAGCTTTCTATCTTCTTGCTCCTTGACAGGTTTTTGTATCATTAGTATTTATTAAACCTTGATGTAGCCAAGGCCTTTCTGCTGCTACCTGGAGAGAGGTACATATGCTCAGTTCAATATTCAACCCCCCAATTTCATGGACTAGGAAAGCCCAAATCACTTCCTACAATTTTCGTGAATTTCTAGTCCTCTCTGCTGCTAGTTTCTGCTTCTGTTTCATCTGGATTAACACAGATACACAATTCAGCCCCATTTACCACTTTTCATTAAAAACAAAACAAAACAAAAACCCACTCCTCCCACTGAGTGTCCAAATGTGTCTTGTACTTAGTTGACTTTCCTGAAGGCCTGGTGGTCTCGGGTCTTATTACAGGCACACGGCTCCTTCTGTCCACCCACTAGTGGTTTCCAGTTCTTTCCCTTCTTCCCCTCTGTTGCTCTTGCCCATTCTCTCAGGGGCTGTTTCCATTTCTCTCCTCATCTCTTGGTATTGCTGAAGTTCTGCAAAGTCCTTTAGGATGACTTGGAGTCTTGCATGGTTCAAAGTACCCCCAAGTGCCATATGGAAGTATCTCTTCAAACCATTGCAGAGTTTCCCCGAGAAGATGCTGGCCAGCACAGTTTCATACATAAACGTTGGCGCTGCAGCCGCTGCTTCTTGGCACATGCCTGTGCGCGCCTCGTTTACTGTTTCCTCTGAAGGGAGGTGTCATCTTCCACCATCCTCATATCCACCTGCTACAGCTCCTTGCATGGTCCTTTGCTCAGAATAGTTATTTAATAAGTATTTTAAATAAGTGAATCACTCACTTTGTTCTTATATAAACAAATTAATATTAACTTTTCCCTAAGCATAATTTCATTAGCAAGCTAAACTGATGTTAGCAAATATCTATGTAATTGATCTTGCCCTGTAAGCCTATCATCTTTGGTATGATGGAAGCAGGGAACTGGTGGTTGGATGAGGGAGGTTTAATAATTTTGTATTTTCACTCAACCTTTCTTTTGTACTTAATGCAGGGAATCCAAAGCCGAATCTCTTGTGTAGTACTTTTGTACTTTAAAAATATGTCGAACATATTTTCAGACAATCAGCTTCCTGTGTGCTGCTTTCCTTTAGAGGATACCCACATTGCAAAGTCTCCATGTGCTCCCTGGGAACTTTCTCTCTGCCAGGAAGAGTCCTCCTGTGGGCCCAGCAGAGTGGCCCTGGCTCCCTGGTCAACCTGCTTTCTCACTGAGGGGCTCCCACCCTGGGGGTAGTAGCTGTTCACTTCCAAGAAGGCTAATGATCTGTGATCTGTGTGCCAAACCTGCCTTCTGGTTTGTTTGTCTTTAATCCTCACGTTGGCTTTTTGTTCTTGGAGTGGTTGAAATAGATTTTGGTTCGGGTTTTCTTCATTTATAATAATTCTAGAATGTCATATACTGTGAAATGCAAAGCTGCTTAAAATCCCACCAGTGTGCTACAGCCCATCATTTCTAAATCTGATTAACACTCAGCACCTGCCAAGCAGCAGGGACATTTACAGGCTCATATTTTAAGTTCTTTTTGTGTTGGTGCTTCCCCCACTTTTCTACTGTGGGAAACCCAACGTATAGCAGCGAGGAGTTAAGAAGTCACAGCCTCACTTGAGTTGTATTAGTATTAATTACCTGTGCAGATCTTGGATAATTGAAGCAATTACTCTTCATTTCAGCTCCAGGGCCTGGAATGGATGGTCTCCTTGTATAATAACAATTTGAACGGAATCTTAGCTGATGAAATGGGGCTAGGGAAGACCATACAGACCATTGCACTCATCACTTATCTGATGGAGCACAAAAGACTCAATGGCCCCTATCTCATCATTGTTCCCCTTTCGTAAGTAAAGTCGTTTACTTATTCCACAGCCATTGTTCTGTATGCGGCAGATTGCCTCATTAGTAGCTCGTCCTTGTTTTTCACTTAAGGCAGAATTGTGGCATGTAGTAGGATTACCAAGAGCATGTAGTCTGAATTTAGGTTTTAATTTCCCACCCCAGCCCACCCCAGCCTTTTTGATTGTCTATTTAAGTGTGGGACCAAATGACTTTATCAGCCCTTGACATTGTGGTCTACACAGCCTGAACATGACATAGTGGGGCTTGCTCGTCATCAATTCTTAAGTGGCTCCCGAAGGGGAGAGGGGTGTGTGTGTGTGTGTGTGTGTGTGTGTGTGTGAGAGAGAGAGAGAGAGAGAGAGAGAGAGAGAGAGAAAACACACATATACACACGAGGGTACTTCAAAAGTTATAGAAAGATTCATATGATCTTGCAATTCTATTTTCCACCTACTTCCTGAAGTACCCTCGTGTGTATATGTGTGTATATACACACAATCAAAAGCATATACTCATACATTCCTAAATCTTTCTTTATTGTACTTTTTGAAGCAGAACCTAAATCAAAATCATAACTATGAATTTTGCATTAAACTAACCTTAGAAAAGGCACTTTATGGGGGCCGGCCTGTGGCTCACTCGGGAGAGTGCGGTGCTGATAACACCAAGGCCACAGGTGCGGATCCCTATATAGGGATGGCCGGTTTGCTCACTGGGTGAGCGTGGTGCTGACAACACCAAGTCAAGGGTTAAGATTCCCTTACCGGTCATCTTTTTAAAAAAAAAAAAAAAGAAAAGGCACTTTATGTATCACTGATTTTGCTGCTTCGTGTGGACAAGTTTTTCTGTTCACGGTGACACTCCCAGTGCCTCATCCCTGGGGTGGTTCCCGGTGGGTCTTTAGCAGACACTCCTGAAGGAAGGAAGAGCTGCTCACAAACACTGTCCCTGTGAGTTCAGTGTGTCTGGCTCTGGGGGTTCGGTTGCAGCTTCATTCACTAAAATCTTGTTATAGGTCTCAGTGCTGATATGAATTTGGACCTTGAGTCCAAAAGTATTCTATTTTTGCATTTTCTTCAAATTTTGTCTAAATGAGGACTGTTAGCAGACCTTTTTATTTGAATCATCTGTATCCATAGTATTTAGACATCCTTTGCATTTCATCTACATTTTGCATGTTCTGATTCATATATTATGATGACAATTTCAGGGATTTAAAAAAGTCATTCAGTATTTCTTCCCCTCCTCCCTTGACAGATTTATTTAATATTTTCATGTGTTTTTGTAATTTCTTTTTTCTGACTCAACTTTTCTCTGAACTTTTACGGCTGTTTCTAAAGAGTCCCAAAATCATTCTGGGAATTGCCATTTTTTCAGTACCATATTAAAATTTAGTTTTTGCCTCTCTATATTTATGTATTCCTTAATTTTTTTTCTTATGAGAATTTTTTATGAGCCACAAACAAACTTGTCTTGTTATGGGGCAGCTTATTTCTAACTTATCTCTTATTTCCACACCTTTAAAATAAATATGTAGCCGAGATATTTTATATTCTCCAGCCCCTTGCAAGGTGAGGCCTGAAACTGAATAATATCTTTTTAACTACTGATTTTTATACAAATGTCTTTTATTTTGTATTTGTTTGTTTGTTCTATAGGACTCTATCTAACTGGACATACGAATTTGATAAATGGGCTCCTTCTGTGGTGAAAATTTCTTACAAGGTTTGGAATGCTATATTTATATATAAACGTGGAAAAGCAAAAAAAAAAAGACCCTATTTTCTTCATTCCATATGCACATCTGTGAACTGTATTTGGTTGTAAAGTTTTGTCATGTACATCATGTACTAAACCGTGAGAGTTAATCATCCCAAGAAGATTACTGTAATAAACCGTAATTACTTTCAGATAGTGAAATGCAGAAGAAAATTGTTAATTATCATATTGCGAGGTTTCTGATGAGAGTAATACAAATGACAAATATCACACATTCTGGGTGCTGCCGACTGGCTCACCGTGAGCTGCTGCTGTGCTGAATGTTCCCTCGAAGTCAGGCAGTTCCCCGGGCTCCCGGCTGCCTGCTGTACGCTCCCGTAGAAATGCAGCCTTTCAGCTGAGCAGCGGGTCTTCTGCCACTGCAAGGTCGCTGCAATTTCCTTTTGTCTTTCCCCTCCTTCAGTCTTCAGTACAAAAACCTTTCTGTAAGGGTCTGAAAAGTGTCAAGATGTGTGCGATTTAGCCAAGACTTTCTTCATGGGTAATGGATCACTGTATGACAGTGAATATGTGTGTCTTCCTCAGTCATGTGTCTGGACTCCATTAAGCTATGAATGGTGAGAAATAACACACATGTACTTGCACTGGGTAATATACGTATTTTTCTTTCCATTTAGGGTACCCCTGCTATGCGTCGCTCTCTTGTCCCTCAGCTACGGAGTGGCAAATTCAATGTCCTCTTGACTACTTATGAGTACATTATAAAAGACAAGCACATTCTTGCAAAGGTATGTTTTAAAAAAATTCTCTCTAATTATGGACCATCACACTGGTGTATAAAGTATTCTGCAAATTATACTCAATAGTATAATTTGATCTCTGGATGGCATATCTCTTACTTTTTCTTTCCAGAGTCCGATATATTTTGATCACAGGTTTTAGTTTTCTGCATGCTTGTGCGTGTGTGTGTGTGTGTGTGTGTGTGTGTGTGTGTGTGTGTGTGTGTGTGTGTGTGTGTGTGTGTGTGAGAGAGAGAGAGAGAGAGAGAGAGAGAGAGAGAGAGATCCTGGGACTTACCTGGCCTCTCGCTCGGAGTTAATGAATTTACATTTCTTAAACAAAAAAAAAATCACGTGGGTTCCTTCTGCAACTCTTTTTCTCTCCAACAGCCCTGAATGTGCATGGGAAAGAAATAATTGTTTTTGTTGCCCTGGGTTATTGTCAGCCTAACTCCATTCCTCTTGTGCCTCTGTCTCTCCAAAGACAAGTAGGCACCTCTCCAGATGGTCTCCTCCATATGAACATTTATCCGAGCTGTGGCTCTTGTGATATCCCTGTTTTAGGTTTTTCCTGGTAATATAACCGGCTATCATTGTTCACATTACTCAAGGCTGTTTCTGTGACTATTTATTTGGAGCTGAGAAAGAGTTGTTCCTGTAACCCACGTGTCTCCTAATTTGTATGTCCTAAGTTGCCCTTTAGCTACAAAATAGAAAAATTTTTTTCCCTTTGTATCATCTTGTCTCCTAGTATGTTCATGTAGAATGATAGAAGTACTGTCTTTTATGGAACAAATAATGAAAACTTGATTTTTTTCTTTGGTGATTTCTTTTACCCTGTGGTGTTTTGAAAGTACTATAATCTGAAACTAAGTTATGGCCAGAATCGAACAGAATCTCTGTTGCTGAGATCGGTTCTATCTCTGCATTAAACCTTTGTTCTGAGATGTGAGAATTCCGTCCTTGGCATCACAGAAAATAACATAAAGGAAATGTGTTCCCAGGGGTTGTTCAATAATTGAGATGGCAGGGGCAACAATGTTATGTTTCTATTTTTCACACTCAGAGATGAATTTGGCAGTGTCAAAAATGATGTGTTTTCAGTATTACTGTGGGAATGTGTACATTTGAGATCCTTGTAAAAAAAATTCATATCATGTCTTCTGCATATGTATTTCAAAATTCATTATAGATGCCTGGTAACGAGATGCATTACTTTTATTTGTTACTAGAGAAATAGAGCTATAGATAGGGGTAGTAATTTTTTCCAAGTGGAAGATCTCATTGTAGTAGACCCAATAGCAAAATCCAAGGCCTCTGATTCCTTGTTTATTATTTCATAAGGTAAATTAGACAGGAAAGTAGATTTCGAGTATTTATTTAAATACATTTTTTGTCAGTCTGTTTTCATGCTATTGGTAAATTTGGGACAGTACATTGTACAACTCTAATTATTCTTGAGCACTTTTCTTAGAGGTGGTGGAGGACGGAAAACAAAACAAAATTCTGGCAGTTTCTTTTACCCGTACATCCCAGCCTGAGTGATGATTTTTTTCTTTTTCCCCTGGCATTGCTGGTGTTTCTAATGATGAAGGCGAGGACTACATAGAATACTCTGCTTGACTCCCTTCTCTCTCTAGGAACTTTGCAGTGAGATTCGGGGACATCTGAGCACCAGATGCTTTTCTTGGCTATTGCCACTGTTTTGTAGGGAATGGATAGGCTTAGTGGAACATTCCTCATTGTTCTCACTTAAAGAAACTGAACAGTGGCCTTGACGAGGGCTAGAGGGTAAGGCATAGAGAGAAAAGGGACTACACAGACTTAGCAAGGAGGATCCTGCCATAATGTAAGCGTTCTTGACTTTTTAAGTGATGATCATGTTGGGTGACTATGTTGTGTTTAATTCTGAAGTTCTGGCATGAATGGAGGAATGACGTTTTTGCACTGTCCTCTCTGCCCATGAGTATATCCTTTCTTTTTAGATAAAACAGGGGTCTTAGACGTGGCAGGTAAGGAATATGCATGAACTAAGGGAGATCAGTTCCTAGATCTAATTTTTTAAAAGAAGCTGGATGTCCAGATTTTTACGTGAAATATTAACAAAACAAAACAAAACAACACTGAGCCAAGCCCGAAAGGTAGTAGCCAGCCAAATGTAACAGAAAATGAGACATGATGCCAAGAATTTCTCAGCCATAGATCTCTGCTAGTGCCACTGCAGAAAAATCAGTCATCAACTTCTGCTCTAAGTAGATATCTATCTTCCGCACTCACTATGAGGCAGCGGTAGCATGACCATGGAATCTGGGACAGCTGTCCAGATACTGGATTAATAATAGGAGCATTGGATGGGGAGACGCAGGATCAACCATTTCATTCTGGGGCCAAGTTTCCTTTTTTGTAAAGAGGTGATTTGGAATCACAGGGCCTCTAAGGAACATTGTCGCTGTAACGTTGCATTACTACATGATGTTTTATGTCATCTCTCGTGTGTGAGAAACAGTCTATTTGTTGAGATTGTTTCATCTTAAGGAGTGTCATGCTATGCCATGTGTCACGTATGGGTTCTTTGGTTTCCCGCACCACACTTGCCTGTTGGAAACAATTGTATTTCCCTTGCTCACCACACATGGTCATTCCTCTTGTGTTGTAGATTCGGTGGAAATACATGATAGTGGATGAAGGCCACCGAATGAAGAATCACCACTGCAAGCTGACTCAGGTCTTGAACACTCACTATGTGGCCCCCAGAAGGATCCTCTTGACGGGGACCCCGCTGCAGAATAAGCTCCCTGAGCTCTGGGCACTCCTCAACTTCCTCCTCCCCACAATTTTTAAGAGCTGCAGCACATTTGAACAGTGGTTTAATGCTCCATTTGCCATGACTGGCGAAAGGGTACTGGTCTAACTTTTGTTTTTTCCTCTGCATGACAATGAAATGAAATTAAAGGGCCTAAAGCTGGGAACATTAAAGCCACAGAAAACCCACAGCGTGGTTTATGATGTCCCTTCCTTTATGGAGCCAATCAGTGGGTGGATGTGGTCTCATTCCAGAGTTATTTTCCCCTCCTAAGAAAGTGGATTTAGTGGTACATGGGGTATCGTAACCTCTTTGTCTATTGCTGACATGTTTACCAGGCCACCAGAGAATGCTTAACTGCAGTAAGACACAGGGAGAGGTATTGGTTGAATTAATTTAGTCAGACCAACTCAACCAACTGAATACAGGCCTTAAAACAAATCTTTTCTTTACTATAAACTTGGAAAAACTTCCAAGTATTTCCACATAGTTTGTCTGTAAAACAGAACTAGTTCACACTAATTTGCTACACAGTTTTTCAGTTTTTAGTGTGAGCTTCAGTCTTGTGTGTATATAAATACTCCTAGAGTAGCCATTTTCAGATTCTTATTATTTTTTCAACTGTCCTCTCAGAGCTGATTTATGAAAGGAAGACATGGACCATGGCAAGGAAAGAAATGGATTCATGTCATTTGGAGTAGCGGTTCCTTCTCTGTAGGAATAAACACCCACTAAGAATGCTTTAGGGAAATTTATGTTTGTACTATTTGTCCCTTTAATTTTGAGGTATCTTCTAGGCACATTTGCCATTGGCCTGACCATTTGTAGAAATGGTGTCGATCAACTCTGCCCCCTAGAGGTTAATAGAGGAAGGTGAAAGAGAAAGCAGGGGGTTTTATAAATAGGACTAAACTTGAACAAGATCAGAGCAGAGAAAAGGAAAGGAGTTAAAGTAGAGACCCCCCAGAATAAACTGGATCTAGTCTTTTTCTTCCTCTTTTCACATTCAAGCTGCTGTGCCCTCAGTATGTTTCTGTATCTGAGACAACCAAAGTTAAGGGCCTAAATTAAGGCTGCAGCTTTAAGCATGAATGCATTAACTCCTTTCTCCAGTTCTGTCTCCGTCTTTAGTCAGCCTTTTATTGCCAGTCATATCCCATAAAATTTTGGGCTGTTAACACTACTGGTCTATAACTGGTAGCTTCTGGGCCCTTTTCCACAGAACTCAGAATTAAGACAAAGACATTCATTTAGAGGCCGTTTTATTACCGGTTGGTAGGCAGGTGGGAAGAGAATTTGGAGGTGTACATGCAGGCATAAACCTGGCTGTAGTGCACATAAATGTCAATCACGTAGTGAAACACATAATAAGTGTAGGAAAAAAGTTAAGTTCATCTGAGGTTCTCTTGTAGGTGGACTTAAATGAAGAAGAAACTATACTGATCATCAGGCGTCTACATAAGGTGTTGAGACCATTTTTACTGAGGAGACTGAAGAAAGAAGTTGAATCCCAGCTTCCAGAAAAAGTATGTTGCAAATTCAAAAGTTTTGGTTTTTCTCCCTTGCAATTATTTTTGAAATACCTGCCCCTGAAATTGTGTTTCTAAAACAACGGACTTGTATTTTAGTTACAGGTATTTTGAAAATATCCTAAAGTGCTTTTTTTTGTTTGATAGAGCTAGACAGAGGAGGGAAATTACAGCATTTTCAGCCTGGTTTCCAAAAGTTTTCAGGCACATTTTATAAAACTGTCAAATATATTGTCTCATTACATTTTAACATAACATTTTTTTCTTTCTAAGTTACTGACGTCATTGAGTGTTGCAGGCAGTACAGAATTATCTGCTTGTAAGCTAAATAAGGATCCGAGTTTTGGATTCGTATCATTATTAAAGGGTATAGTAAACATTTGCCAAGTTTCCTGGAAGTTTATTTATGTTTGTGATGTCATCATTCTGATAGTAAGTGAAAAACAGAGTTCCTGCAACTTGCAGACAGATCATCTAATTATTCTGGGAGTTGGTTTTTGTCCCACACTATAAAAATTAAGTTCCTATGAACAATTTAAGTGAGTGTTTTTCAGGTTGTTTTTTGGAAACTGAATTTTCATTGCTTTAGAATGTTTTTTGAGCCCTTAGTGTGATGTCTGGGGGTTGGATTTGGGTATTAGTTTAATAGGTTTCTGATCATATTTTAAAACCATGCATGTTTGAATTCTCAGTGTCATTCTCTTAAAGACAGATTGTTTAGCACGCAATACTTTGATTTGAGTGTTTTCTTTAGATGGGCCTATTCTGAAATATCTTATTTTTGCTTGATTATGGTTTTTCTGGGTAATAACTCTATTTCTGGACAGATTGGTTCATCCTGTTCGTTTCTAAGTGGGAGTTGGCAAATGGTGTACAAACCTGAGCACTTTGCTAAGAGAATTCTATTCCCTAATCCCCTATTTATTAACAGTCTGAAAAAAATTAAAAAGACAAATGGTTTTTATATCTTGCTTATCCCAGTGGAAGTCTACATATGTAAGTATTTTATTTTGCTGGTGAATGCATCTTGAGGATTGAATGCTGTTGGTTTGCCCTTTGACATCCTGTGGTCTTGGACTCTTCAGGTAACACCCTCTCTGTTCAAGATGGACTTTAGTTCCTGAATAGGTAAACTGATGAGTGGGTACAGTGGTTGTGTGGCTGCCTTGAAGTACTTCCCATTACTGTGATCCTGCAAGTTATAAAGGTGGAGTGTTAAGGATCTTAATTTGTCCCGTATGTCCTTTTTTCTTTTTTCTTTAGAAGAGACATAGAATAAAAGGTAATTAACTGAAGCCCTTCATTTATTCATTCCGTAAAACTTCTTAATCTTTTTTATTCATTTCCAGGACTGACTAATATAGATAGGTTTTTAAAAACACATTACAAATATGTCCTGTTTTAAGAAAATCTATTGTAGAAAAAGCCAAACTTTTGCAGCATAAAAATTATGGGGTTATCAATTATATCAAAAAGGAATGCTTTGCTTTACTAACATACTTATTTTATGGTCCTTTATGTAAGAGTGTTTCCTGAGTACCCTTGAAGGATGATAAACTTTTTAAAAAATGTATTTACCCTCAAATTGTCAAGAGTATATCTTCTGCATATCTGTGGACACCTTTACAGGTATCCATACCTTTACAGGTGTCCTTACCTTCAAAGGTAACTCTGTTATCTTTTCCTGGAGGCAACTTGGTGTACTGCAAATCAGGTGCTATGCCCATCAGCGTGGGCTGGGTCCCCACCATGTTCTCCATGTCTTACTGTGTGAACTTGGGCAAATCGTTTAACCCAAACGGGCCTTAGTGTACTCATCAGTGAACTGGAAAATACGTAATAGCTGCCTCATAGAATTGTTGTGAGGATTAAGCGGATGTAGCGCTCACAGTGCTAAGTGGTAAGCACCCACCTAGTGACAGCTGCCGCTTCCATAGTCCCTGTTTTCTACCTGTGTTGCTACTTCTGTTATTAATGGAAGTTCCTCTTTCCTATTCACTGCAAGTTCTTTCTCACTGTTCTCTTGACTTTGCTTTGCTTTCTGTGGCCCTCCCGTATCTCTGTCTCTATGTCACGACTCTTTCAAAGTATGTGGGGACTTGTCACTTTGCATGTGTATGTGGCTGATGTTGATGTGGCTTGGCCAATGTTCATTCTCTACTTTTTCTGACTTGTGAGGATTTTTTTTTTACCTGGGGAAAGTTGGAAATGTAAGTATCATCTTGGGGTAAGGATGTTTCTTCTGCCACCATTGGCGTATAGCCACAAACAAGGCATATGTCTTACCCAGCCTAGATAAAGAATCTAAAAAGGAATTATGGCCAGTGGCAGGGAAAGGCTAAATTCTTCCATAGCAGTAATTCTCAAATGTTTATTTGAAAAAGAATCAGAAAAGGGGTTTTTTTATTTTTTAATTTACATATAGTAAAATTTATTCCTTTTGGTATATTCCTTTGGTATATTCCTTTTGGTATATAGGAATGGTTTTGATAAATGCATAGAGTTACATTAACCACACCTACAACTAAAATGTGGAACAATTCCATCACCCACCAAATCCTCCCTCGACTCTTAGCCTTATGTGACCACTAACCTGTTCTCTCTGGCTTGTATTATTACTTTGTTCTTCTCTCATGCCATAGATTCCAGTTCTCCATGTCTTACTGTGTGAACTTGGGCAAATCGTTTAACCCAAACGGGCCTTAGTGTACTCATCAGTGAACTGGAAAATACGTAATAGCTGCCTCATAGAATTGTTGTGAGGATTAAGCGGATGTAGCGCTCACAGTGCTATGTGGTAAGCACCCACCCAGTGACAGCTGCCGCTTCCATAGTCCCTATTTTCTACCTGTGTTGCTGCTTCTGTTATTAATGGAAGTTCCTCTTTCCTATTCACTGCAAGTTCTTTCTCACTGTTCTCTTGACTTTGCTTTGCTTTCTGTGGCCCTCCCGTATCTCTGTCTCTATGTCACGACTCTTTCAAAGTATGTGGGGACTTGTCACTTTGCATGTGTATGTGGCTGATGTTGATGTGGCTTGGCCAATGTTCATTCTCTACTTTTTCTGACTTGTGAGGATTTTTTTTTTACCTGGGGAAAGTTGGAAATGTAAGTATCATCTTGGGGTAAGGATGTTTCTTCTGCCACCTTTGGCGTATAGCCACAAACAAGGCATATGTCTTACCCAGCCTAGATAAAGAATCTAAAAAGGAATTATGGCCAGTGGCAGGGAAAGGCTAAATTCTTCCATAGCAGTAATTCTCAAATGTTTATTTGAAAAAGAATCAGAAAAGGGGTTTTTTTATTTTTTAATTTACATATAGTAAAATTTATTCCTTTTGGTATATTCCTTTGGTATATTCCTTTTGGTATATAGGAATGGTTTTGATAAATGCATAGAGTTACATTAACCACACCTACAACTAAAATGTGGAACAATTCCATCACCCACCAAATCCTCCCTCGACTCTTAGCCTTATGTGACCACTAACCTGTTCTCTCTGGCTTGTGGCTTTGCCTTTTCCAGAATGTCACAGGAATGGAATCAGACAATATGTAACCTTTTGCATCTGGTTTCTTTCACTCAGTATAGTGCGTTTGAGATTCATCCAATTTTTTTTTTTTTGCATGTATCAACAGTTAGTTCACTTTTATTATTGAATAGTATTCTATTATATATATATATATGCAACACAGGTTGTTTATCCATGTAGTTGAGGGATATTTGGGTTGTTTCTAATTTTTGATGATTGCAGTTAGAGCTGTTGTAAACACTTGTGTGCAGGTTTTTTCGTGAACATAGGTTTCCGTTTCTCTTGAATAAATGCCTAGGAGTATGATTGTTTGGTCTGAAGGTCAGTGTATACATAACTATAAGAAATGTCTGCGTCATTTGCTAAACCATCTGAACCACTTTGTAGTCCTGCCAGCAACGTGTGAGCATTCTATTTCCTCCACATTCTCATGAGTTCTTGTTATCATCAGTTTTTCAACATTTTTAGCCATTTCAGTAGGTGTGTAGTGGTATCTTATAAACTTTCATTTGCATTTCTCTAATGTCTAATGAGGTTGAGCATCTTTCCATTTACTTCCTCAGTTGAAACTAAGGCAGGTATATAAAGGCCACCGTCTGATAAATATAGATCTACTGCTTAGGAAAATTAGTTTTGATATTAGTCTAATGAAACACCTAAAGAGCAAGGGAATGTCCTATGCCTCACCCACCCCACTACTACCACTAAGCTGCTGCTTAGAAATCCATTTCTTATACTCAGAAAAGAATGCCATATGAAAAAGGGATTCTGTAAAAACACCTTAAGCTAAATAAAAATTGATTTTTTGATTTAGCTCCCATTTAAGGTTGTCTTTGCTCACTGTCTCCTCTGTTAGTTAATTCATGCCACCAAGAACCAACTGTACTTGCAATCGGCTGTGTATATATTGATGTCTAAATATGCTAAAGTATGTATATTGGTCTGAGGCTAACTAGAGGTTGACCTACCTAAAATAAATCCTGACTTTAATATAATTTGCATAAAACCAAAAAAGTTGTATTTAGATGGATAACTTGTATATTCATTATGTAAAAAAGTTTGGAATGCTTAATATCATTATTACTTTGTTCTTCTCTCATGCCATAGATTCCAGAACTTGGGAATTTCACAAATTGAATCATATCGTTTAAAATCTCAGTTCACAAAGTGGTAATATATCACATATAGTAGTTTAGGTTCATTGTTCCAATAATACATCCTTTTGGAAGGGAGATTGTAAATGAAGAATAATAGTACTCAGGCAGAAACTTTTTGAATAAAGCTCAAATACTTGTATAGGGTTATATGGGAAGGATCTCTGGGCCAATATTATGATTTGCCTACTTGTGGGGGTCCATTTAGCCATTTACTAATGTAAGAATTCTTAGGAGACAATTATTGTGTATATGAAGTCAGCACCTCAGTTTTACATATAATTTGAACAAAAATAGCTCGGGTGACTCTCACGAGCCTAACTTATTGGGAGAATCATCCCTGCTAAGAAGCCACAAATTTCATTTCCTACAGCACCCGTGTATTTTGAAGTGCTGTGACAGTTCTGGAGGTGTGAACTCCTCAGACCCAGCAGAGTTGAAGTTGGACGATTATTATAGAAACTTCTCTAGCTTCGTCTGTCCATCTGTATGTCTACTTTAGAATCATTCAGTCTGTCTCTTTTCTCAAGACATAGCTATTGATCACCAGCTCTGTACATTGTCCTATGCTTGTGTCAGGTAGAAGGTGCAGGGGCTACACCAGAAATGGGGGACGTTGTGAGAAGTCAGTGGACTTGGCTGTGGAGCTAAGGTCTACTCCCCCTGAACTGTGGCGTGGCAGTGAGAGGCAGCAGCACCCAGCCCCTCTGAATGGATGATCCAGGCATTCTAAAGTTTCAGGGTAGGGGTCTCGGGCACGCACAAGAGTGTGTGTGTGTGTGTGTGTGTGTGTGTTGGGGAGGTGCTTACTAATAATCCATTGGGGTGCAGAAAGATATTAGAACAACCATATATATTTATTTTCTCTTAAAAATAAAAAAAATAAGCTTTATTAACGTTTAACATACAGATTGTGATATGAATGTTTGTCAGAAACTCAGAAACTCAGACATGTTTCTGGGATAGGTGAAAGGTTATCCCAGGGGAGGCTTCAGCGAGGGGGCGGGGTTGAGCCTCCACCACCCAGAGCATTTGACGGTCCCTTCACCCTCACTGCCAGTTTCATTCACTTTCTGCCTGTCATAAGGCATTGTGGGTTTCTCTGTATTCAGATAAGAGGATTTAGTATGACCTGTTTTTTATCTAAGCTAACACCTCTAGTCCTCAGAAGGGCTAAAAAGGTTCTGCAAAGGAGTGCGGCGTTGAAAAAAAAGATGAATAATGTAAGCATAGGTGAACGACAGGGAAAAGGCCATCCTGCCTCTTCTCCCATTCCCAGTGTGAGTTTTCATCAGCCACATCATAGTGTAATTGGGTTGGAATTGACCAAAAATATTAAATTGGCATCTTGAAATATGAAAATAAATCAACTGCCTTTAACATTGACCCATGCCCCCAAAGTAACTTGTGTCTTGAGACATTAATATTAGTGCATGCGTACGATTCATAAATGAATGTATAGACATATATTGGGAAGATATGCTTTAATGTGTCTCCCTGATAAGGGAATGCCATTTAAAAAGCTTAATGACCAGCTTCTTTGAGGGAAATGAATGGGAACATCAGTTTGGGCTGATAGGATGTTTGGGGAACTTCTTATAAAGAGCCCTGAAAGTAGAATAGAATTTAGAAAGAAAGCCCTAAGACTTAAGAACATCCCAGGTCTGGAAAAAAGAAAAATAACAAACAAAATAGCTTGGAGTCGTTTGGGAAGTTTCCAGGAGCAAATATAAAATATAGTTGAGAAGCTTATGACAGTGATTTTGATCTCGTGTATCAAACCAGCTTCTGTTATCCCCTAATCGTGTCACGGAGGAGGCACAGGGTGACTTCCCCTTATAAGAGCAGCTGTCAGGTCCTCGAGAGGAGCGGCCTTTCTGCTGACTTGACCGCTTTGAGGATGCTTGGCTTCCCTGTCTCCATGGTATCATCATGCACGCCTCCTACTTCCTGAACTCCTTCTCCTCCAGCCCTTAGCAGTAGTAGACTGATGGGAAAGGGGGTTGATGGTTCTGTCCTTAATTCTGATCTGCCATTTCCTAATGCAATTAAAACAAGCATCAGCCATCTCTTCTGCATTCAGGAAGGTGCACACACGCCAGTGGGGAGGCCCAGGTGAAGGCGAACATCAGGCAGAGCTAGGAATCCTGGAAGTCTCCTTAGTCATCCTTAGCATGGAGCTTAAAAGAGTGGAGTCTGTTTCAAATCCTGAGTGCACCATTGAATGGCTGATTCGGTTTGCCAGAGGTTAATCTCTCTGATGCTCAGATTCCTTAACTATAAAATGAGGAGACTAAATGTGACCATCTCATAGAGCTCTTGTGAGGGTTAAATAAGGGCACATAAAGGGCTTTGTACAGGGCCTGGAATACAGAAAGAGCTCAACAATATTAGCCCTTGCTATCATTTATATCATGACACGAGAACTTATTAAAATATAATATTTTTCTTTTCCACGATCAAATTTCATTGTGAGTTGACAGCTCTTGAGAAAGTAGGATAGTGGTAATCATTTCACAAGGTATGTGTATATCAGAGCATCACATTTTACACCTTAAATATATGCAATTTCTGTTTGTCAATTATACCTCAATAAAGATGGAGAAAATTGTTTTAAATTTTATAAAGAGAGGGATAAATACCACATGATCTCACTCACATGTGGGAGCTAAGAGAGGAAGAAGTTAGGAAAGAAAGACCACAGTAGTGCGTTGGTCTTGCAGAGGGAGAGAACATTCCTTGGGCTACAATGTGGAGTGGGTGGGAGGGGGGCAAGGGAGGTGGGGATAATTGGGTGGGGAACACGGCATACAAAAGCAATTTCTGGTAATCGGTATGCTGCCAGTATGAATCTGGCCCTCACATCGTGCCACAGGGGTGACAATCAGCTTTGTATCTCATGAATATTCATAATAAAAAATAAATAAATAAACACACACAAATTTGATAAAGAAAAAGAAGTACTTTAAACATATAACATGATCAAATATCTAAAACACAAAGCCTATTTATTTATTTATTAAACTTAGATTTTTTTTTTTTTTCCTTCTTGGTCAAGAAGGTCATTAAAAACTAAAGCAAGTTTTTTGTGGGTTACTTGCTCTTAACTTTTCTGCAAAAGAGCAAGCCTTTCTCTCACCTGATTTGATGCATCAAAGCAAGAGGCAAAGACTATAATTGTGGTTCCATCTGGCCTGACAGTTTCCCTCTAAAGCAACAGTGGAATGAATATTGAATTTCTCCTCATCTGTGACCTCCTCATTCTGGTCTTCAGAGCTGAAAATAACCTGATCATTTATAATCAGTTTATTAAACATTAGGCAGCATGCTGATTTACTTTTAATAACATTCTGCAGATTTCTAGGCATTAGTCTGATGTTTATTATGAAAATTGCACATTTATATTCTTGGTATTTTTTAATAAGGAAAAACAATAATAGGAAATAAGGCAGCTTTTATACGTTAGGAGTATGATATAGTATTGCAGGTATGTGATAAACCATGGGCACATAAATTCCCTACAACTGTTTTAAATTGGATTTTTGCAGTATTTCAATGGGAGGCACTAGGAGGCCTTGTCCTCCTTTAGATAGCCATAAAGTTATGTCCAATTGTGGATTAGTTCCTCTCTACCTGGTAACCTCACTAGGTTGTATTCTGTCACTTTACAAGAGCAGAGGTTAATGACAGTCAACCTCAGGCTGTTGTGACTCTTACTTTAAGACTAATATGGGTGGTAGCCACATGTGACCATTTAAAAAATGTTTTACAAAGAAAACCATAGGATATTAGCTAGTCATTGTTTTTCCTAAACTTGTTCTGTTCATATGAAAAGGGGTATAGCTGGGAAATAAAGGAAATACTAAAAATATCCTATACTGAACATTTTTGAACAGTTTGCAAGCCACTTTCAAGTATGGAAACAAGTCAAGGAATTTCAGAAAACATGACCCTGGTTTCAATTACATATAATCTTTTGAGGGTCCCACTATCACAGTGGCCCCTTTAACAATGATAGCCATGGTCTCCTCCACCACCCCCATCCCATCCCCTACTCCATGAATCCAAGAAGAGGAAACAGAGATACTTTGACGCTCCCAGGAGCAGCCCCAGCAGCCGTGTCAGCAGTCTCCGTAGAACAGGCACCTTCTCCCTCCTGCCCTCACCTGCTTACGGTTCCCTTTCTCCCAGGTGGAGTACGTGATCAAGTGCGACATGTCAGCTCTGCAAAAGATTCTGTATCGCCACATGCAGGCCAAAGGGATCCTCCTCACAGACGGCTCTGAGAAGGATAAGAAGGTATGCTGCGGAAGGCAGTGAAGCTCAGGGTGCTGCCATGTGTCTTCTCATGGCTGTGACAGTGACTGTTCTTGGGAAGCATCCCTACTAATGCTGACTTGTTAGAGTAAATCACTGGGCCTTCTTTGTAGCTATCATAGTGGCCAAGGGAAATCTCTTAACCTCTTATCCGCATTCGGGCAGGAAGAAAGGAGTATGCTCATATCACCAAAATAATTAGCTCTGCTCCTGTCAGTTCTGCAGAGAATATACTCTGCCTAAGTGTGGTGTGGCATTTTAGATTTTAAAATCCAGTCTTGCTCCCTGGGCGTCTGGTCTGTACTTCTGTCTTCCAGAGTCCTAGGGAGTGGACAGTCATCTCACAAAGCCATCAACCTGACATAATTCCTTAAGGTTTAGTTTTTCTACAGGATAATCATAAGAAAGATGTTATATCTAATTCAGAAACTGCCATGTAATAACAGGAGCTTTGGACCACAAGGTGTGTCAGTTACTGAGAAGACCTATTGCCCTTTGTCTTTTCTATAAGAAGCCCGGTTTTTCAGAATTGGAAATATCCGATCAATTAATAATATGTTCTGTTTTTCTCTTTCCACTTTTTCTTTAGGGTAAAGGAGGCGCTAAGACACTTATGAACACTATCATGCAGCTGAGAAAAATCTGCAATCACCCATATATGTTTCAGCACATTGAGGTAAGTCTGTATCTGTGTTTTGATCCTGATTGTGCTAATCCTACTAATGCTAATTAAAAAAACAAAACACAATAGATTTAAAACACGGGTGTGGAAGTTGAAAAGGCATGATCTGATAGCTCGACAAGCAGAATTAACAAACATGAATTTTCTGGTTATGGATTCTCATTGGCACCAAGCACTTGAGCATCTGGAATTTTATAACCAAGAGCTTAAAGTAGTGAGACAATGTTGTTGGCAATGGCTGATTATGTGGGTTTGGTTAAGTACTGTGAATTACGTTGTTATGGTAGGAGCTCTGAAATTGCAGATAAATACATGCAGCTTCCTTGGAAGGATGCTGTGAAAAAATATTAAAATAATGTATTTATAACTGTTGAGAAAGATATTCTTTAAATATTTTCTTTGTCAAAGACACTGGCTTCAGTCTGTTGCTTAGATTAATATTTTTTCTTTTTTGTTTCTATTGCAACGATGTAAATCTGTGCTTTTATCCAGATGCTCAGGTCTCTAGAAAGCTATTTTTAGGGGAGAGGACATTTTCTGCCCTGTTCACCACATGTGAATAAGTTTCCTAAATTGGCAGGGTTTCACCCCAGTAGGAGCAGTTGACTCGAGCAGGAATGAAAAGGAGCCACAGTTGTATTCTCCGTGCTTCAGAGTTGCTGCCGAGGCACATGGTCCTGGGGGCCATTAGTTTACAGTGTTGTGTCTACTTTCCACTGCAGAAAGAGCAGGAGACAGAGAGAAAATCACTGCAGAGCTCCAGCATCTGTACCAATTTATTTTTAAAACTTAATAGAATCTTCTGGAAAATTAACAATAATCACAGTATAAAAATTGAGTTGAAATATTCTTGACTTCAAATATTCTATTTTTAATTGTGCTTGTTAGGTCAGAGTATTTATTGCAGACCCTCTTCCTAGATGAGAGTCCTGTCCCAGCGGTGCTGGAGAAATTAGAAAGACTCCTCACACCGTTGTTGCCCTCGTGTCCATTGGGGAGAGTATCCATAGACAGCGGGGAGAATATCTGTAGACATAGGGGAAAGTAGCTATAGACATAGGGTAGAGTATCCATAGACACAGGGAACAGTATCCGTAGACGTAGGGGAGAGTATCTGTCTGTAGGCCCAATTAAAATGACAATAGCAACAACACGCAAAAAATCCCACCAACAAGCAACAGCTACTTAGATATATAGTTGAAGGAGAATCCAGTGGGCAGTACTGAGTCTGTATTGCAAGCCACTTTGTAACTGTGACCTGGGGTAGGTTACTGAGAATCTCCAAGCAGTACTGTGCTTGATTTGTGATCAGACAGTAATGATAGATTATAGAACTAGCAGGAGGATCAACTCTTAAGTAATAGCATAGGAAGCATCTGGTAAACTGAAAACGTGGTGGGTGTAAGTTGGGGGGGAGGGTGGGAAAAAACATCTAATAATGAAATGATTGAGATTGTGACATGTCAACCTGTCACCCCACTATCCCATTTTTCCTGAAAACAATTTTAAGATGTTTAATCTATAGAGGGTTTGGGGGACTTAGAAATTATGAAAGCTAAGGGTCAATCTTACTTCATTGTGGTTATCATAAAAAGATTAACCTTTGAAACTCACTGGGCCATGTCAGGGAGGTGGGGAGAGGATGCTTTCCACCTCCAAGCTTATATCTGGAGTACCAAGGAAGGGTGGAGGGCGAGGAAGGTTGTAAAAAAGGCTGACGTTAAGTAACATGCCATCCAATGCCTGCATATTATTTACACTTTAAGTAGCAGTCAGTGGAAAGACAGAGGATGATTTGTAACTTTTTTTTAATATAAAAACTTTCAGTAGCCTAATCCTAGAAAGGAGAGACCCATGGTTATTGGTGAATCTGTTGACAGTTATGGATGAGAGGTGGCATGTGCATTACCTCTGTTTTGTGTCATCTGCCACACACCCCTCTGTTCATACTAAACCATATGAGAAGCCCAGTCTCGAAACTGGCCCCACTGCCTCCCTGGGGATCTTCAGACTAGAGAAATGAAGACAGTACTTTTTAAATGCTGATACCTAATCTTATCACTGTCCATTGACACATACCATCTCTTTGGTTTTTACAGCCCTGCTGGGAGACAGGGACGGAACCTAAAAATCTAGTAAGGAATGGCTTCCTGTGGAGAGTGTTCTAGGTTCTAGGAACTGGAGTGGGGTTTTTGGTTATTGCCCATTAGTGTTAATTTTGCAGGGTAATGCTCTGAGGGGTTGGAGCCAACCATGAATTGATGAGCATATTTGATAGGGCCCCCAAAGAAAGATCTGGTCCCCTTGGGAGAAAAGCTACAGTGACCAGGGGAGGAGGGGAAGCGGAGAAGGGAGACGGCTGGTGGCTAATGTGAAGGTGAGACTTGCTCTCCCTCCCCCCAGATGGTCCAGATCACACGGAGATCACTCCTTCCTGTGAGTCAGTAAGGAGGGAATTATGTGATTAAGTTATCTATTCTCAAAGTGGAAGGTGGGATATCTGGGGGTGGTGGACATTTAGGGCCTTATTTATAATAGAAAAAAGCATGGTAGGGAAGGGATGTTAGATTTCACTCAGCTAAGAATTACAATATGTTATATAATTGTCATTGTTCTTATTGCTACATATTTTTGTAATATATTTATGTTTACATATTAATCCTGATTTGCATGTATTGAGTTCTTCCTGTAGTCTAGACTCTGAGCTCCTGGAGGGCAGATCCCCAGAAATAGCTCCTGGCTCAGCATTGGGCCAGTGCATGCTCAGTCACTGTTCCATGAGTGACCTAACCCTGCCATCTGAGTTTGAGTCTTGAGACTTGAAGAGACTCACAGGGTACATTTCTGGAGGAACAAAAGTCTGAACTCAAAGGCACTGAGTTTCTGGTTCATTCTATAATGAGTATATGCTTTTTTCATTTATTTTATTTAACTATACTCTAGAAATAAATAGGATGATCTCAGTAAAAGAGGAATCATTAGTAATTATTTTTTTAAATTGCTTTCTTCTCTCTTTTTTTTTTTTTTCCCCAAGGAGTCCTTTGCTGAACACCTGGGCTATTCGAATGGGGTCATCAATGGGTAAATCTTAAAATTTTTTTTTCCAAAAAATAGTGTCGTTGGTCCTACCTAAACTCCTCCTCTCTGTGATGCTTCCTGTCATGCAAACATGCCCTGCCAGCCTCCTCAGACCTCCTTGTTCCTCAGTGGAGGTACAGAAGCTGTTGACCAAAATGATATCAGCAATCTCTTTTTTTTTTTTTTCCCCAAGGAGTCCTTTGCTGAACACCTGGGCTATTCGAATGGGGTCATCAATGGGTAAATCTTAAAATTTTTTTTTCCAAAAAATAGTGTCGTTGGTCCTACCTAAACTCCTCCTCTCTGTGATGCTTCCTGTCATGCAAACATGCCCTGCCAGCCTCCTCAGACCTCCTTGTTCCTCAGTGGAGGTACAGAAGTTGTTGACCAAAAAGATATCAGCAATCTCTTTTTATTTTACTGACATAAATTACTGCTTGCCTTGAGCAAGTGGCTACTGAAAGGACATAGATCTCATTTAATAGTATCCTAGTGTCCTAAAAATGTTGTTGAAGCTTCAGAGGGCTATTAGTTATAAACAAAAGTGTAGCTTGGGCTTGAAGAGAATTTATCTTATCAAATTTCATGTTGATATTTAACAATAATGTGCATGAGAGAAAATGTGTCATCTGCTATAAATGTGTATGATTTTACTGTGATTTGTAAAAGTATGGTCTGTATGAGAAACGGTTTTTTGGTTAGCATTGGACATTGAAGGGAATCAGATCTTGCAACCACACACACAAAAAAAGAGCCTTGTGGTAATGGAAAGTCTCGCTTGTTTTGCACCGGAAAATTCATTATTAGGATAAGGGGTTGTTCTTGGATCCCATGGGCAGACAGTGTCACTGGGCTAAGAACCAGGAACTGGAACCCATCCAGAAGCAATGCCACCAAGCTCTCCCTACCTTTCCATGTCTTTCTTTCCTCTGGATCCCATGGTCATTTCTGTTCCAATCAGCTTGGCCAGGGTCACATGGTGGAAACATGGCTATAGAGGGGTCCTCAAGGACAATTCTCAGAGCAGAGATGGACTTTGGGAAGACACACATTTAAAAATGTGTCTGTTAAAAACAGCATATACCTTATCATAAAATCCACTGCCAATTGATACACTTCAGTGTTATAGACTGCACTGGTGAGTTTTTCAAACAATATTAACCCTAAAATTAAGTTTTAATAGTAACACAGCCCTATTGATTAAAGAAAAAAGTGGCTTATTGTGGGGGAAAAAGGCCCTATTTTAGCCTTTCTTCATGTCATGGCATCTTCTCCATCTCACACTACCATCGTATGTTTGACTTGCCCTGCTACAGTAAGCCAGGACTTCTGTCCCACCCCCATCCGTTCTTACACAGTGTCCATGGTGATCTTGTGAAAAGGTACATACACCAGGTCACATCACTCCCCTGTTGAAAATTCATCAATGGCTTTTCACTGCACTGAACATTACAATATTCAGTGTAGCTAACAGAGCCCTGTGGTGTGTATTCCCATATTTACCCTCCAGCTCTCTATTCTCATCTCCCAGTATTCTCCCCTCACTTATGTTTAAGCCATACTCACCATTTTTCTTCCAATTTCTCAGACTCGCCAGGCTCCTTTACTCCTCAAGGCCTTTGCACATGCTCTTTCCTCTCCCTGCAATCTCTTCCTCTCTACCCCCATGTCCTCATTCTTCAGCTGCATGCCTTCTTACTCATTATTTCAGGTTTTAGCTAGAATGTTCTCTCTTCAGAGAGGTCACCTCTAACAACACTCTAAAACAGCAGTTGGAAAACTTGTTCTGATAAGGCCAGATTGTAAATATTTTTATCTCTATGGGCCATAAAGTTTCTGTCATATATACTCAATCCTGCTACTGTAGCATGAAAGCAACCATGGACAAAACAGAAATGAGTGAGCATGGCTGTGTTTCCATAAAACTTTATTTATAAAAACAGGCAATGGGGGCCAGCCCTATGGCTCACTCAGGAGAGCGCAGTGCTGGCAGAGCCGAGACCGCGGGTTCAGATCCTATATAGGGATGGCTGGTGCACTCACTGGCTGAGCGTGGTGCAAACAACACGGTGCCAAGGGTTGCGATCCCCTTACCGGTCAAAAAAAAAAAAAAAGGTGATGGGCCAAGGCGAAAGTTTGCTCTAACCAAAAAAAGGTGTCATGTGTTGCTATACATTCTCTCATTGGAACTTGCTATTTTTCCTCACAGTACTTATCACAAGTTGCATTTATCCATTTTGAAGGTAGAGATTCTATTTTGCTTATCACTATACACATGCCTAGCATTGTGCTTGGTACATCATAGTTGCTCAACAAGTATTTAAATGAATCTTAAGTGCCATAAATTGATGATAGTATGTACTTAATAAGTAGGGACTTAAAGGAATACAACATATTCACATGTATATGTGTGTTTGTGTGTGTGTGAGAAAGGTATTAAGAATGTTAAAGGGCTTACTTTTCTTTCTAGAACCTGTTGTCATTCCTAGTATATACAATGCACTCTACGGGTTTTGTAGGAATATGTTTTCTTTTTCCACTAAATACTCTCATTGCTTACAGTTGATATTCATCCAGTTATTCATTTATTCATTCTACAGTTGCTTATTGAATGTTTACTATGTACAAGGCACTATGTAAAAAGCAAAGCAATACTGGATCCTTCGAGGAGACAGCAATAATACTGTCTTCTTGTTTTGCATTTTTGGGTTCAGGGCTGAGCTGTATCGGGCCTCAGGAAAGTTTGAGCTACTTGATCGTATTCTGCCAAAATTGAGAGCGACTAATCACCGAGTGCTGCTTTTCTGCCAGATGACATCTCTCATGACCATCATGGAGGACTACTTTGCTTTTCGGAACTTCCTTTACCTGCGCCTTGATGGTAAGTGAGTAAGGTTTTAGGCTCAGAAGCCACGCTCCTGGAAATGAAGGTATAATGGGCACTTACATCCAATCTCAGTGGAAAAGGAGGGGTAATACTGAAGAATTGACTAGCGGGGTGGGGTGTAGTTTTTCTAGATAGCAGTTTTTTCACCCTCAAACTTTAAATAGGTTGATGTCATTTGCACAGCTTTATATTCCACATGCAAACTAACACAAATGAATTTAGAGTCACTTATGAGGACCACAATTAAACTAACCTAGAATTTTAAAATTCTCCTTGCTCTTACGATTGACTATTACCTATGCACCACATAGAATATATTGACAAGCCTTTAACTTTTTCTGATGAGGCATAATTTAAGGGGATAAAGGCTATGTCCTCTCTCTTCAGTAACAGTATAAGAGTTCATTAAGATCATATTTAATTATCAGGAAAGTTCTTTATTTTTCTAAATAGAACATATCTACATGTTGCATTGTTAACAGATGTGATTTGTTTCCTGGATTTTGCAAACTATGTAAAATATTTGCCTGACTTTAAGAGTAAAATTTAAATATCATGTCTTAAAAATTTAGTAAGCAAACATGAGTGGAAGAAAATATGAAATTAAGGATGTTCCCTAAATTACTTTATAAATTGGGTACTAGCCATAGTATTTTAGAGATTAAAGATACCAAAGTTTTTGTACTATGGCAGGGAATAACACATCCAACGAGTAGTAAGTAGCAATTAGAGTGCATTGACCGCCAGGATGCTGTTTAGTCCCTGGGTACAAAAGTACAGTATGGCTGCCAGTTTTATTTGATGCCATGCTAATATTATTATTAAATGGGAAATTTTAAGTTTATGGCCTTAAAGGTCTTTGTTGTATTTTCAATCCAACATTTTCTCCCCCTCTTGCCATTAATTAAATATAATTGGATATATACCAGATTCAGACTGGCCATGTTTTCTTACTTGAGTTTTTAGGTGAATTCTCTTTATTGTCTGCCTTTTAGGGTATTATGCATTTTTAAGTAAATTAATCATCTGACAGACTTGATTACTTAAAACCCTTTTAGGTCTCCCCTCCAAAGTCACTGAAAACCAATGAATGGTTAAGTAAACGTTCATTTTGATTTCACAGGTACAATTATATTATCCACTCTGTCTCTTTTGGTAAATCTCCTGTATTGTCTCTTCTCCTTTGACCAGATAACTCCCTCCCTGTGAGGGGAAAATTCAGTACTCTTCCTTCAAAAGATAAACCTTCCTCGGGCCGGCCCGGTGGCGCACTGC